GAATGGTTGGGAACAAATGTGTACAGGTGGTGCTATTTAGGCAAGAATCTTTACTTCTCAAGTTATCTGTAAAACAGTGTAAAGACAAGATCAACTTGGTAACTCCAGGAACCCAAAGAAAACACCTCCTGTTGAGTCTGTTACGTAGCGGACTTAAAAGACAACACTGAATTCTACTCAGTTCTCTAGAATCACCCATGTATTCCACAACCATTCTTTCTTTTTTCTCAGGAAACCGAAATAAAGTAGCATTTAAGCATTTCATTAAACCAAAAACAAGTTGGATGTGTTCAAACATCCAAAGCTGCCTTCATGCATAGGGCATATCTCTTTACTGTTACTGTGGCATTATTATATTAATCCACTGTTATTTTATTGCATGTAAATAATACAGAGAATGTGTTCTCTTCAGAATAAAAAGTACTTTAAGTTTCAGATTACAGTCTTGGTTATGTTGTACCAGATTTGATCAGAGGGAGTATAAAATGGCTGGCAGGGAAGTGTCTGACAGAATCCTCTAAATACTACTTCCAAATCCTAATTAAGTCACCGCTCATGGGAAGTAATGACTCACTTTTGGCTTCATAAATAAAATGATATAAATATAAATGGAGATTAACATCCTATAAAAGTCAAAGACTTAAAAATGAAAACATACTCTGGATTTAACTATTTTCTTGGTGAAAAATATCCAACTTCAACCTCTTCTCCATCGTCTGGGTGATTAGAGCACGGTGCATGCTAGGTGGCGGGCTCACAGCACGGCTCACAGCACGGCCCTCTTGGCGAGCATGGCAAAGGACCATGCACAGAAATGGGTTATTCTGAAACGCACCATCTGACACTTGATTCCCAGAGTTCGCCAACCTGATCCTCAGGGATTTCTAACCCCCATGACGATCCATGAGAGGAGATGAAAAGACAGGAGTAAGCCACAGTGTCAGGAACCCCATGGACAGTCAGCAAGTGCACCTTTGACAGTCTATGACGGACTGCAGATCTTTTATGTGTACAATTTGCCACATTAAGGGTATTTCTGTGATATTATGTGGTTACTTATGTTTGTAAATATTTAAAAGAAAGATTAAATTCCACACTAAAAAGAAATCTGAATTCTTCAATTGAGCAACAGCTAGGAGAGATCACAGCTAAGTGCAGGGGCTCTGTTGGCATTCGTCGGGACGGTGGTGTGCTCCATGACGCCAGCGTAGTGGATGTGAGCAGTACTTGGATTCAGTCTGACAACATGCACAGTTATAACTCCACAACATTTAACATAATTAGATCACAGGATAAGTATAATAAATATCAAACACAACATTCATACACTAATCAATCAATGGAATAAATTAAACTAAGCCAGTCACAGATTGTTCTTTACTCCTCAGTCATGGTTTATTCGTGTATAAACATAGTGTAATACTTTCCTAATGCTCTTGAAATGCTACAAATAAAAACAAAGGCTTTGCATTACAGCTGCTGGACAAAATGTCAATACTGCAAAGTGAAACGGTTTCTTTGTTGTTTAGCATCAGTGCACGGGGTATGGCTCCAAGTGCGGGATGCAGGAGAAAGGATACAGCGGCTTGAAACAGCCTCCATTCATCATTGGCACAGACTGAAGAAGGAACTTGACCGTCCTTGGTACCTTGACTACAGTTTCCCCCGCAGGCAGACAACGTTATACATAGATGCCCTCAGGATTAAAACCAGATGAGATGGGGTTCTGAAGAATACGGAGATTACTGGGGAGCTGCCGTGATGAGCCGGGTCGCTTCAGGGACCCGGACTGGAATGGCACCTCTAAACAGGAAACAGACATCATCTGGTGAACCAGGAGGCCAATGAGGAGGGTCTATCATGCTGGAAAACTTCCCAGCCCAAAGAGCTCAAAAGAGCTGTGTAAACTGCTGTACCCTGCGGCCCTGGGACAGGACGGGGAAGGATAAGCCTCTAGTTGGTAAACCAGGTTTTGGAGATAGGAACAAAGCCTGGTCTTTTTCAAAGGCAAGTGAGGTTTTTTTGTTTGGCTTCTTTTGTTGTTTAGACCACATGCATACAGAGATGTGTAATTTTTAATTATCAGGACAAATTAATTGCAAAGACTTAGGAGACAAAGGAAATTCGGAACTGAGAGAAGCTGAAAGTTAGGGTGACCAGTATTCTATTTACACATCAGCAAACAGTTCGCAGAGCCGCAGCTTACAACAGGCCTGTCCCAGTGAATAAGTAACCCAAGTGTTAGTATTTTCCCCAGAAACTGCAAGTAAGTCATATTTTTAAGTGACCTTCTTAAAAATTGGTTCTGAATGCAGGGCACTGCTTTGATGGAGTGAGCGGTGTGTTCCCCACCGGCCAGGAAGTAGTGTGAAAGGCGTCTTACCCTTCTCCATGTCTGTCTGGGTGGCCTCGGTCTCAGCGGGCTCTGCGGGCAGCACGGTGACCTTCGTCCCCGTCTGCTGGATGAACTGCTGGAGGTTGACCTGCCGCAGCTCTTTGGTCAGCTGCTCCAGCTCTTGCTCCTTGTCCTGGGTGGAAACATCCGTTATTTTGGAATTTGGGGACTGGACAGTGAGGGATGTCTTTGTGACAGACCCTCTACTCTAGGGGTAGGGGTGAGATGGCTGCTTTCACAAGGACACATTTGACACACCTGGTTTCCATGGATATACTGGCTAGAGTAAAGAGGGTCCCTCTGGGATGGGCTGTCCTCAGATGCGAGGCTTCCCTTCTGCATGCCACCATGTGCTTGCAGGAAATAGGTGTCCTTAATCTTTCATCACAAAACGCTGTCTTCTACCTACATCAGTGTCGCAACTGTCTTGTTAATCTGGTCACACATTTCCCCACTAACCACACTGTAATGGACTGCCAATGAATAGTAACTGGTTCATAAGAGTGAGTCACAGCTCTTGGTTTCTATAAGATGCTGCTTTCCATGGGGCCTGTTATTCGGATTATTTGACAGTACGCACAAGCTGGTTCTGAGGTCTGTGACAGAGGTGGGTCTGAGCCCTAAAGAAAGGGATCATACCTACTGCTGCCAAGCTCCAAGAGCAGGGACGGGCATTCCGTTGGTCAAGGCTTTCCTTTCCCTTCCCAGTTGTCTCCTCCACACTGTTGGGGTCACACTGTGTCCCCCACCCCAGGCTGTGTGTAAAGAAGTGACAGGGTGGCCGGTGGCTTTCTCCAGTGACTTGGTGATATGCTGTTTGGTTAGTTCCTTCAGTGAACAGGGGGACTTACTAGAAGGACTGGTTTAGGTGTGTTTCCTTTAAGTAGTATCAATGGTAACACAGCTCCCAGTGTCCCCTTCTTTAAATATCAAAGTGACTCCACGTGGTAAAATATTGGCAAACCATAAGTTTCTCTGCCTCTGAAAGGCCAGACGCACTGTCATGGGTGTCACTCCAGCTGAGGGCGAGCTCTCCCACGCCCAACACCTAGGTTACTGCCACCACTAGGATCCCTCTTCCACGGAGAAGGAGCCCTGTGCTGTTAGCTCTCACTTCATTCTGCTTGTATTTGTTATTTTATGGGTACGAGTGTATTGCCTGTGTGTGTTTACGTGCGCCCGTGTCACGCAATGCCCATGGAGGACAGAAGAGGGTGTGGGGTCCCCTGAAACTGGAGTTACAGATGGTTGTTAGCTGCCATGTGGGTGCTGGGAACCGAATCCGGGTCCTCTGCAGTAGCAGGTAGTGCTCTCATCTGCTGAGCGCCTCTCCAGCTCCTCCCGCTGTTAGATCGATGCTTTGTCACACGTCACAAGAATTCTATGGGACTTTTGAACCAAGCTATGCTTCCGGTTCTTTAAATATATAAAATTATATTCTTTAAAAATAAACAGTTGTGCTGGGCGTGGTGGCACACGCCTTTAATCCCAGCACTCTGGAGGCAGAGGCAGGCGGATCTCTGTGAGTTCAAGGTCAGCAGAGGCAGGCGGATCTCTGTGAGTTCAAGGCCAGCCTGGTCTACATAGTGAGTTCCAGGACAGCTGGGGCTACAGGGAAACCGTGTCTCAAAAAGACCAAAAAATAAGAAATAAATAGAATATAAAATAAACAGTTGTGAAAGATTTCAATTCTTAAAACATTGGTTAATTTATTTATGTGCGCGGAGCACGTACCATGAGGCACACGCAGCGGTCAGAGGCCAAGTGCAGGAGCTGGTTCTCAGGTCCCTGGGCTTGGTAGCAAGCGCCTCTCTACCTGCTGAGCCACCTTGCCCGGCCTTTTAATAAAACAGTGGCTTTTTCTCATTTTTTCCTAGCTCTCTGAGGCAGAAGCGTCCTGTCTGTCGGGATGCCTTACCTGGAGCCGCCTGGAGGCCTGCCCGAGAGAGCGCTCCACGGCTTTGATGCCGTTCTCCAGCCTCAGGCTCTGCTGCCCTTGGACGTCGATCTCCCCCCTGACCTTGCCGATCCTCCCCTTCACCTCCTCCTCGTTGACGTGCGCCTCCTGAACTTCCTGCTGCAGTTTCTCCGCTTCCAGGCCGCTCTCCATCGTCTGGATCTGTGCCAGGTAGTCCTTTAACCTGCTCTCACAGTCTGTGATTTTCTGCCGTATTTCTTGAAGTCGATCCTTCAGCTGCTTTTCGTTTTCTTGCTCGATCTGCAGTTCGTTTTCCCAGAATTCTTCCTCCTCGATTTCTACGTCATTTCTTTTGATCTTTTGCTCCAGGCGGATGATTTCCTCTTCCAGGTTCGAATGATACTTTTGCTCCCAGAACCGTATCTCCAGGTCGCTGGATTCCAGCTGCTTCTCGATGGCCTGCAGTTTCTCGGTCTGCAGCCGGATCAGCTCCCTCAGCTCACCCGCGGTGGTCCTGCAGGTGCTCAGCACCCTCTGCTTCAGTTCGGTGTCCTTCCCTTTTCCAAAAATGTCCATTAAGCCCTTGGCACCTCCCGTGAACGTCAGTGACTTTCTCTTAGGCTCTCTCCTTTGGATTGACTTGTCCACCTGAGGCCTCAGTTTGGCTAAGGGGGGCAGACTCTGTCGGTACAAAGTTCTTTCAGGAATCCGAGCCACGCTGTCCGAGGTGGGTCGCTCACTGAGAGACGGCCCGGTCCGGCGCAGAATGAGCTGTACGTCGCTAGCATACTGCCCCCACTTGTTTAGGGATATGATGGGGTTTTCATGAGGTGCCAAGTGTCTTTCAGTATCTCTCCATTTTTCTATAAGGGTGTATCTTCCGGTTCGACCTAAGCAAAAAGATCGAGTAAATTGTCATGGCGACACACGCAGTGTCTAAAGACTGCCAACGGACATTTGTGGTAAGTGTGCATTCTTTTTCTACTGCTGCTTTTTGAGGCACGGTCTCCCTGTAGCCCCAGCTGGCCTGGAACTCACTATGTAGACCAGGCTGGCCTCGATCTCACAGAGATTCGCCTGCCTCTGCCTCCTGAGTGCTGGGATTAAAGGGGTGCGCCACTGCACCAGGCCTAAGTTTGGGTTCCTGGTCAGCATCAGAAGGTCAAGTTTAGAGTGCAGTCCAGGTGGCCCATGACACCTTCACTGTAAGATGCCAAACCTCTCAAAGATGTGAAACACCATAAACAGTACCAATACCTCTGACTTGCTAAGAAATTCAGTTTAGGGGCCGGAGAGATGGCTTAGCAGTTACGAGCACTGGCTGCTCTTGCAGAGGATCTGGGTTCAATTCCCAGTACCCACATGGTTGCTAATAACCATCTGTAACTCCAGTTCCAGGAGATCTGACACCCTCTCTGACCTCTGAGAGCATTGCATGACACAAGTGCACTTACACATATGCAGGTATAACATTCATGCACATAAAATTAAAAAAATATATTTTTAAAAAAGGAATTCAACTTTATATTTCTTCTAATTGAGACTCTTATACTTGGGTCAGATGTCTAATTGTTTATTTTGGGGCAGGAATGAACAGTTTGTTTCCTAGGCAAAACAAAGACAGACATTAGAATGCCACATGCACAGCTGGTTTACCCTTTCTGTCCCCTTTTCCAAAGGTTTTGAGCTTCTGAACTAGTAGCAGAATTTTCTTACTAAAGTGGCAGATGATTTGCCTACATTCTGTCCATATTCTGAGACTTTGTGGGAGGCTGAGTTTAAATATGATGGAATAATTGATCTGGTGCTGGGAATTTTGGGGCAGTACTGCAGTTAGGCTATGGCACAGACACTTTTGGCTGCTTTTAGCCAGTTTCACAGTGAGACATGAGAAGGAAAAGCAGAGCAGGGCCTGGAAGATGTACAGTTTGGGCTAGAAAAGAGCATGTTATGGACAAGGGTGCGTTGTCACGGCATCTAGAGCTATTAAAAGGAGGCCATGGGGCTGGAGAGGTGGCTCAGCGGTTAGGAGCACCGGCTGCTCTTACAGAGGACCCAGGTTCGACTCCCAGCACCCACATGGTGGTTAACAACCAACTGTAACTCCAGTTCCAGGAGATCTGATGCCCTCTTCTGACCTCTGTGGGCACTGCATGACATGGGTGCACTTATATACATGTAGGAAATACACTCATACATATAAAATAAAAATGAATAAAATATTAAAAAAATAAAAGAAGCCATGTGCTTTGCACTGGGACAGGGGGATGCCCTGACATACCCTCAGGCCAAATCCCAACCATCATAGACTGAGGTGTGAAATGGCAAAACTATTTTAAAACTTTCCCTTGAAGAGAGCACCTCTGGGCTATCTTGCTGAAATAGGGTCGCGTCAGAGTTGGGTTCCTCGGGACTTGTTGCACGTGCTCAGCTGCCTGGGCACCCAGAGGTGCTGAGCTGTGGTCAAAGAGCCAGGCTGCTGGTTGGCTGGCAGCAGAGCTTGGCATCATCCACGGGATGCTAGGTTTTCAGGCATGTAGAATGTAAGAGTTACGGGATCATGTAAACACCCACCCAGAGTTCAAAGGAAAGTCAGGGAAGCGAGACAACATGGGCCAGGGCAGGGCCTCTGCAGACTGTGCTTGAGAGGTCAGTGTGAGGGTGAAGGGCACCTGCCGTGAAGACCCGAAGAGGTTGGAGACGCCAGAACATGGAGCATCTGTTGTGGAAGGCGGCAGGTAACCACAAGAGGTTAGGTCAGCCTAGGAATGAGGCTGTGTGAGCTGCAGCTGGTAAGTCACAGGGCCTGTGGGACTACCCATGCCTATCAGAGCTCACACTACAACACCATGTGCCCTGGACGCTGGACATGGGCACAGGTGCTAATGTTACCCTGCTGCATTTCAGTCATGACTTGGTCTGATCTTTTTTTTAAAGACTTGTTTTTATTCATATGTATGTGTGTCTGTGGGTGGGTGCCCACAGAGACCAGAAGACGGTGTTGGATCCCCTGGAGCTGGAGTTACAGGTACTTGTGAGCCACACAAAAGTGGGTGCTGGGAAGGAAACTTGGGTCCTCTGCAAAAGCACTGAGTGCTCTTCACTGCTGAGCCCAGTCTGTAGAGCCGGGTCCAAGTTTTGCTTGCCAGTCTCCTGTTCCTCACTCTTTTTTGGAATGGGAGTGTTGACTCCGTGCCATCACATGCTGGAATCTTTAACTAGTGGCTCACAGCTAGGAGTTATAAAGAGTCTTGGGGGAGACTGAATCGGGGCTTTTGAACAATGCTGACCTGTTAGGACAGAGACAGATGTAATGTATTCTGCACTACAAGGTGAACAGGTTTTGGGAGACAGGTGCAGAATGTTATAGTTGGGACATGAAGTATCCCTCCAAAGGCTCATGTGTTTGGGGCTTGGTCCCCAGATGATGACACTGCTTTGGAAGGTTCTAGAAACTTTCAGAGGTGGTACCTAGCTATGGGAAATAAGCTGGTGAGGCATGTCCTTGAAGACATCTTGTCCTGGCCATACTCTCCTCCCTCCTGACCTCCAGGTGAAGAAACTCCTCTACCAGATTCCTGTTGCCATGACATCCACCCAGGCACCTTCAATGAAGAAACCATGGACTGAGCCCTCTGAAACCAGGGGCCAAATTAAATCTTACCTCCTTAACATTATCACTCAGGTATGGTCACAAGGGCGAGGGAGCTTTCGCACTCACCCCAGAACACCCTAAAGAAGTGTAAAGTACCTTTTCTCTTCGACACGGACAGATTTTACTTACCTATAGCTTGGGCTAAGGCTATTACAACCTCTTGGCAAGTTGTGACTTCAGTGACCCCACAAACAATCCTCTGAACTCCATCCACCCATACTTTGAGTTCCATGGTGCATGTGCCAGTCACCCAAAGGCCCTGACAGCGGTCATCGGGATTTCAGGGCATGTCTCTGGCTCTGGAAACACAGAAGGCGGAATTTGTAGTCAGTCTGCTCGCGGCGACGTCCCCGGAGAGGCCCGGCCCGGAAGCAAACCTTTTCATACATAGTATTATGTGAACTATTACATGACACCAAACACATTTTACTGTATCATAATCCTGCTGTTGTTAAAGTCCATCTGCCTGTTTCGCAGAGTGGAATTGGGCAGGAGAAAAGACCTGGAACATTCGGCTAGGGAATGTGATCTTTGGAGCAATGGAAACTGAAGTTCAGCCAGTCAGTATTCAGATATATGATCTAATTCCTGCACTTAAAATTTTAAACCAAAGCTGGGTGTGGTGGCCACGCCTCTAATCCCTGGCAGAGGCAGGAGGAACTTTGTGAGTTCCAGGCCAGCTGGGGCTACAGAAACAGACAAAACACCCCAGAAACGAAACTCAAAAACAAGAAAATTAGAGCAATTACTGTTCTGCCATGAAACCCTCTTTGCTTGGTAGGGAGGTAAAGAACTGTTTCTCATTTACGCCAACATAAATATGGAGTCCAAATTCTGACAAACAAGCTCATTCTCTTTTCTTCTTTATACATATAT